ACCCGCTCTCCCCGCCGTCGCCATCGCCATAGAGGCCGCGCGGCAGCTCGGAGACGGGCGAGATCCTCCCCCGCTCGATGCCCTGCTGCTGCTGCTGCCGCCACTCCACACCCGCGGGCGCCACCATCGTCCCGGGGCGCGACGCAAGCGCGAGGCCCTCGACGTGGTGCACGAGGATGCGGGCGCGCGGGCGCGGCTGCCGCGCCTCTTTCTCCTTCTCGTTCTCCTCGACCTTCCCGCCCTCTCCGCCCGTGCGCCCGCCGCGCGCCTCCGGGTCCGCCGCACGCGCCTTCTCCTTGGCGCGGCGGTCGAGCGGGACGCGCTGCGCGAAGAGCGACGCGGCGAGGCCCGCGGCGGCGAACGCGGTCGCGGCGAGCATCATGCGCGAGAACGCGACGCCGTAGTCGCCGCGCACGAGGTACTGCACCTCGGGCGGGACGCGCGCGAGGAGCGCGGTCGAGTCCATGTCTTGCGCGTACTGCCGGCGCACACCACTGCGTCAGCGCGGGCGCACGCCACGGGAGAGGGAGAGGAAGAGGGAGAGACGCACCGGGGCGGTGCGCGGGTCCGCGCGGACGCGCGCGACGAGGACGTTCTGCAGGACGGTGCCCATGACGGCGATGCCGACGATGCCGCCGAGGCTCTTGCTCCACATCGTCATTGTCGTCACGCGCGGGAGCTCGCCACGGCCGACCTGGCCCTGCGCGGAGAGCGTGTTCGTCTGGTAGACGAAGCCCATGCCGGCGCCGGCGACGGCGAGGAACGCGAGCGTTTCGCCGCGCGGCGTCGTCGCGTCGATTAGCGCGCCGAGCCCTGCGCCGAGCGTGAAGACCGCGCCGCCGGCCCAGAGCCACGGGCGCACCCAGCCCGTGTGTGCGACAAGGTGCCCGACGAGCACAGAGGAGAAGGAGAGTGGAACAACGCTGCGTGTGAGATGTTAGAGGCGGGGGAGAGCGTGTGGAGCCGAGAGGGGGGCGGCACGTACAATGGGAGCAGCTCGAGCCCGGAGATGAGCTGCGAGTCACCCTTGACGAGCTGGAAGTACGTCGGAACGTAGACGGCGATGCCGACGAGACCCATGTGCGTGAAGAAGTAGTTCACCGTCGACGCGACGACGTTGCGGTGACGGAACATCTCGAGCGGGATCACGGGCACGCGCCCGCGCGCCCGCACGCGGTGCTCCCAGAGCACGAAGAGCGGGATGAGCCCGGCGCCGGCGGCGAGCAGCGCGATGATGCGCGCGCTGCCCCAGGGGTAGACGCCGCCGCCCCAGGTGAGGGCGAGGAGGAGCGCGGTGACGGACGCGGAGAGCAGCGCGATGCCGAGGAAGTCGATGTCGCGCAGGCCGACGGAGGCGGGGCGCGGGGCGGATGGGATCTTGGGGATGAGGAAGAGCAGCACGAGGACGGCGGTGCCGCCAATGGGCAGGTTGATGTAAAAGCACCAGCGCCAGGTGACGTCGCGCGTGAAGAGGCCTGTAGATGGATGATTATGGAGGGCGCGCGAGAGAGGAGGGACGACTGACCGCCAAGGACCTGCATGTGTGGTGGAGGAGCGATGAGCCCGGAGTTCGACGCTCAGAAAAAAATATGCGCACCGGACCGAGGATGCTGGCGAGGGTGAGGCGGGCGTACATGACGCCCATGTATCGGCCACGCTCTCTGAGCGGCACCATCCTGCGTGCGCGATGTGAGAGATACGCATACATCCAGCGTTCGGAGAGAAGGGACGCACTGGCTGATCATGATGATGATGCTGACCTGTGCATGGAAGTGAGGGGAACGACTGGGTGCGGAGAAGAGACGCGCGTACCATCAGTCCTGCACCGCCAATACCTGCGACAACATAGAAAGTGTGTCGGTGTACGATCGATTATGTAGATTTACCGAGGGATGACGGGCGCACCTGCGACTGCGCGCGCGCAGCAGAGCCAGATAAAGTTCCGCGCGGTGGCAGTCATGAGGGAGCCAAACTCAAAGACGGCAATCGAGAAGAAGAGGACGACCTATGGGCGAGAGGGTGAGTCAGAGTGCAGAAACGGGTGGGGGAGATGAAAGAAAAGCACAGACCTTGCATCCCCAGAGCTCGCAGGCGCGGCCGAAGAAAGGCTGGAAGACGGTGTTTGTGAGCAAGTATGATGTGGCGATCCCTGGCGGGCATGAGTTGATGCTGAGGGAAAATAAGGAGAGGGGGAGAGGAGACGTACAGCTCTGCTGGTTGAGAGCAAAGAATTCGGATGCGATGGTGGGCATGGAGGTGGAGACTATGGTCTGGTCGAGGGCGGCGAGGAAGCCTCCGATGGCGAGACTGGGGTGCATATGGCATCAGAAAGGAAATCAAAAGAGCGGCGCAAAAAAAGGGAGGAGGCTTGCCTGAAGAAAGCGACATGGATCTCCCAAGGCTTCATGTTGTGCGCAAGGCCATGAATCTCTGCATAATTGTCTGGTACGGGTGGAACCGCCTCGGCCGCGCGTTCTTCGGCGGCAGCTGCGCTGACCGTGACGGACGGCGGGCTCTTCTCCAAGTCCGAATGTGAGTCTGATGTATGCGCAACTGCGTCGATTGTGGCCGTCTGCGAGGTAGTTCGTCTTACGGACAGGTCTCCATCGTCGGGAGGGGCATCATGGTGCTCGAGGATGTCTGCCCCCGTGCCGTTGTGCAAGAGGCTCATGGTGGGACGAGAAGAGGTGTGGGAAGAGGGAGGAGAGATGGCTCTGGAGGGTAAAGCTGTCACCGCCCCAGCAGCAGCATCCCTGCAGACGCGCGTGCATGTGCATCTGCCGCCCTTCCTGGGGGGAAGATGCTGGTGCTAACGGCGCGGCGCAGGCTTGGCTGGCAGACTCGCGCCCGGAGCACCGTGGGACACCGCTCCATCCCGGCGGACACTGATCGGTAGCTAACCCAAACTGCATTCAGTCTCCGCTCCATCCCGATCTGGTGCCCGAGATCAGCCTGATCGCATGGAGGAGCGCCCAGGGCGTCGCTGCCCGATTTAGGCATACGAATCCAGCTGCAGTCATCGGGGGCTGTCACTCTGCCTTTGCCTCTCAGACTCAGACTCAGACTCAGACTCAGACTCAGGCTCAGGCTTAGGCTCGGACCCAGCTGCGTGTTCCGATTTCCCGCCGCGTCCTGACAGTCACCGGCGGTGGTGGACTCGGAGCACAAGCGTGGCACTCGCTCGGGGCCCATCACCTCAGTGCCGCCAACGCGTCTTGGACAATCCCCGCGGGTCTCTTCATGGTGCCTGCTCTTCTCTAGCCTCCTTCGGGCTATCTTATTCAGTGGGAACACACGCCCACACGCGGACCCTGGCTGCAGTTCAGCTGTAAAATGAGATTACCGATATTGTACCTCCGGGAGACCGTCCCCGCTGAGTATTCTCTTGTGCCTACATAAACTCCCCTCTGACACACAGATCCTGCATCAGCGCAATCCGACTCACTGCCAGACACCATGGAGTCCCCTCCGCTCCTCAGCGTCTCCAAGCTCTACGACGAGCTCGTCGGCCACCCCCTCTCCACTTCACTCGGCAGCCTCGTCCTCTCCGCCTTCATCTCCCATGCCATCTACAACACCATCGACTGGCGCCCCGTACGTCGCCTCTCCCCCTCCCCGTCCCCTCACTAACTCCCCTCTAGATCGTCATCTGTGTCTCCGCCGACATTCTCACCATCGGGCTCGACCACTACAACGACCACGCCGGCACGCTCGCCCACGCCCGCAAGACCCGCGATCGCTCCGTCCTCGCCGTCTTCTCTCATGCCCGCGCGTTGCTCTTCGCCAGCGTTGCCGCCCTCCTCGCCGCCCTCCTCCTCGCACCCCTCCCAACCGCGCTCGTGACCGCCGCATTCGTCACCCCCGCGCTGCTATGGGACCGCACGCTCTTCACATGGCGCGCCCGCGTGCGCGAGAAGGGCACAGCGGCCGCGAAGGAGGGCACAAAGGAGCGACGCTTCGTCATCAAGCGCATCCCCGGCATGAAGGCGCTCTTCAT